TTTGCAACAATTTTTTTTGTTATTATTATTAAATTTTATTAGTTTTAATGAACATTTACAGGGATTTTGGGTTTTCATTCCTTCATTGCTGCACCATTCTCTCTACCCTCCTCCCCAGTTTGTTCTCTTCCCCCGCCATCCGAATGTCTGTTTTAATTGTCCAATTGCCACAGTGCTTGTCAAAGTCAGTTCTGATTAATCTCCTTTGTCAGTGTGTCCTTTGCCATTCCCTATCACTCCACCCTGCGAGAGACTTCACCGTGATTCATAAGGAAAAGGGGACAGCATAGTCTCTTAGCTACTTCCTGCTGAAAAGGGACGCTGTGGGTTTCAGGGTGAAGATCTTCTCTCACTACTCTAAAGGGCCCCTTTGGCAGTAGGAAACACATAGACTATTATGGAGATTGATTTTGGAATTTAGATGCACTGTTATTAATTGTGCTTAGTCATACATGTTCATATCCTTGAAGATGTATCATGGGGGTGTTGCAACCTAGAAGACACAAATTTAACTAACAAGTTATAAGTACATGAGTCAAAAATTATGGAAAAGTAAAAGAAAAGATTCTTTCATTGTTTTACAAACCCTCCCCCAGGTCCCCTCCACCATGTAGCCATCGCTCTAGACTCCTGTGATGACAGAAATACCTAGTCACATATCTCTTTTAAACAGTTTTCTCCCTCCTCTGTTTCAGTGCAGTATACATTATTGAACCCATCTTACTCAGTCTATCCCCAACCCCGAGGTCAGTCCCATTCTACAACAGTGGCATCATGTAATATTTGTCCTTTTGTGACTGGGATATTTCACTCAGCATAATGTTCTCCAGAGTCAACCATTTTTAATAATATTGCATGAGTTCCTTGTTTTTCAATGCAGCATAGTATTCCATTGTGTGAATATACCACAGCTTCTCTAGCCATTCGTTTGTTGATGGGCACTTAGGTTGTTTCCAACTCCTTGCTATTGTGAACAAAGCTGCAATAAACATGGGTGTGCTGCAACAATTTTTGGAACCTTTTATTGTGATTTAAAAGTTTAGAGAGGAAACTGGTTTTCCATTCAATAATTCATGCCTCCTATGGTTTGTGACATTGACTACAAATCCCCACATGGTAACAGCACAATTTCCACTTCTTTTTGTGCTTCCACTTGTATTTCTTTCTTACCTTTTTCGCTTTTCTCTCTATGTCACTGCTGCCCTGCCCTTTTCGAAAGTTGACTGCTTTGAGGAGTACTTTCTTCCATGATGTTATGAATCAAATGACTCAACCACAGGGGCAAGTGACTGCATAGGATTTCTCACAAAGTTGCTGAGAATTTTTCCTACTCCCCTTCAATCTTTTCTGCAACTTCCCCCTCTTTCCCTGAAAAGTAAAATTTAACTTAACTCTGTTAGCATTTAATATAGTTTAATTATCTCTTCATTTGGCTTCCATTCATCCTAATCTCTTCTCTCCACATATGTGACCTCACTTCAGAGGCTTTCTATGGTGACGTGACCAAAATGCTGTGTGCTACTGAGTTTATTCTAAATCACAGTGACCTCATGTGACAGAGTACAAATGTCCCATAGGGCATTCTAGGCTAATCTTTCTAGGAACAGATGGTCTTCTGTAGAACCGTTGTTTTGACCAGTGACCTTTCAATCAGCAGCTAAGCACTACTGAGTCAACTAGCTCTGGTGGCATCGTCAGTAGGGAGCTGTGCTGCCAACCCAGGGTGGTACCTCTTTGGCAGTTTGAATCTGCCCAAAGGCTCCTTACGAGAAAGATGGAGAATCTCCTCCTTTGCTGTTTACAGCCTCGGAAAGTTGCTGAAGGGTCAGCTATGAGTCTGTTCTGATTCAACAGCAATGAGTTAAGGTTAATTGAAATGTAAGTGCCATAATGTTGGCGGGGGTGGCGGTGAAGAAAGATTGTCTAACCATGTTCACTATTGAGTCCCCAGTCTAGAACAATGACAGACCCATATTTTATCCTCTGGCAGGTTATCAGAGGCAGTTAAATAGCATGGGAGGAGATTGTCCACCTTTCTTCCATGGAGCAGCTGGTGGTCTTGAACTGCATGCCTTTGGGACGGCAGCCCAGCTTCTTGCCACTAGGCCACCAGAGCTCCCTCACAATAGACTATCCACAAATATTTGTTGATTGATCTTGCAGTTCCTTGCTGATACCACTTCTCTCAGGCTCTCATCTCATAACTTTTTAAGAATTATACTCATAATCCTTGTTACAAACAAAATCAGTAACACATGAAGAGAGTATCATATCATAGTCAAGACTTAGCCAGGAAATTTAATAATAAAATGCAAGGAAATCCATGAATATACTACTTTAATAGCTAGCATGAATAAAAGGAACAACATAATGATTTCAGTATTAGAAAGCATTTTATAAAACTCAACATTTGTCCTTAAAATCTTTAAGAAGGAAAATGACTAGAGATAGTCCTTTATTAAGCAGAATCTCTCCTGCTCACACAGTCACTCTGATTACTGCCTCCAGAACATTTTGTCAATTCATCCCCAGCCCTTTGTTTTCATTCCTTCAATTTCAGTTGAGGTCACATTACCCTTAACTGGATTACACCGAAAGAGCTCCCTGGCTGCTCATCATTCAAGTTGCCAACAAAGCCAGGATTGCTAAATGCAGATCTAACCATGTACGGTCTATCTTTAAAACCCTAGCTAATTGACTGCAAAGTGGTCATAAAAAGGGACACTTTACTTGGGTGAATTTGCTTTGGCTCAGATTTTGGCTTTTAACTCTGTAGTCCAGAAATACGATTTTGTCTATTCCACCTGGTTGACCAAGTGGAATAATGTTATTAGCTGAACCAAGTTACTGAATTCCTAGCCACTGGTAGCTTACTTTCCAGTTAAGGCATTGTCTTAGTTACCTAGTGTGGCTGTAACAGAGACACCATAAGTGGGTGGCTTAAATAAACAAAAATTTATTCTCTTACAGTTTAGGAGGCTAGAAGTCCAATTTCAGAGGGCCAGCTCTAGGAGGCCCTTTTTCTCTGTGGGTGGTGGGTGAAAAAAAAAATTCCATTTCTGTCAGAATTTTTAGGCCCTGAATTTTATGGAAACCTCCACATGTCCTGGTCTTCCCTGACACTAAGGAGCTAAGTCACACAGGAGGCTGGATCTAAAATGACCCACTCTTCTCCACTCCTAGCCATTATTTTTGGGAGGTATGCAGGCCCCTGCTCTCCACTTTCTTTCTTCTGAAGTGAGATCAAAGATATTACAGGTCACACCCTAGGGAAACTTCCCTGACATCATATTTACTATTGAGATAGGATTAGGGAAATGTTGCATTCCATCCTTTATCTTCCTGCAACTATTTGGTTTATCAGACCACAGGGCTCATAGCTTCCAGATGATACTGTTTAACTCAAACATGCCTTTATTTACTTTTTTTTGGGGGGGGGACAAGGCAAAAAAATGAAAAAAAAAATTAATTCCATTTCCCCATATACTTAGGAAGGCCTATCACTGTGGTTGTGGGTTTTTCCCCCAGCCACGTTCAGTGGCTTCAGTAGAGTAGGTAGAGAACTGGGTTACATGCCAGGTCAGTGAGTGCCTCGAAGGGCAAGGGACACAAAGGAATGAGAATGCTGATCAATACAGAGGAAGGTGGGAAACCTGAGAACATGGAGGAGAGAGAGTGAAAACTGGTAGATTCGGTGGACGGCCAGCCATATAGTAACTCAAAAGTAGGATATCTTTAATGCAATTATGTATTTAAGTCAGAACAGTAAGAAAACAATCACATCTTTAGGTTCCATCTTGCCTAGAATTAAACCGGGCAAGCTTGATCATACAATTAACCAAAGGGAAACAAGCAGAAGAAAACCTGGTAGCACAGCAATTAAGCACTCAACTGCTAACAGGAAGGTTGGCAATTGAAACCCATCAGCTGCTCTTCAAAAAGCGATAGAATTCAGCTCCTGTAAAGTTCGCAGCCTTAGAAACTCTGTCCTACATGGTCACTATGAGTTGGAGTCCACTTTGCACCAACAGGTTTTGTTCCAGTTTCTTAGGGGATAAATTCAAAGGCAGGTAGTTCAAATCCACCAACTGCTCCACTGGAAAAAGATGGACAATCTCCTCTTGTGCAGTTTACACCCCGAAAACCTGCTGGAGATTCAGCTCTGAGTCAGTTTTGACTCAACACACAGAAACATAGTCAAGCAAAGGGTCCTAAAAAAACCCAAAAAGTATGCCTCAAAAGAGAAGATAAACATTCACTAATGGAAAAAGTAATTAATAAAAATTAACAAATATACGTTGAGTGAAAAGTACTATTTTTTTTTTTTAAAAAAAGAAGATTCAATGGGATAAAATAAGAGACAAAGGAGGTTCCAGCCAAGCAGCCTGCATCCCTCTAGTTGCCTGTCCCGCACCCCCAGTGTTGCCATGGTGTTCTTAGTGTCTGCAGCTCTCCCCACCCCCACCTCTCCTTAATAAAGAAACATTTGTTTGGGGCTCACAACTGTATTGCGAAAGAAGTTACTGAGTACTCTTACAATCTGGTAAGTTCCAAGAACTGTATCCTCAGTGAGTGCTGCTGATTCAGGTTAAGGGTAATTGTTGTTGTTGTTATTATGTGCCATTGAGTCATTTGCAACTCATATCGACCCAATGTACAAGAGCTCTAAACGCTATTCTATCCTGTGCCAACCGAGCCATCTCAAATGCTAAAGGTAATTAGATGGGAGTAAAACACATACTGAGGCATCTGGAGACATTAAAGTTGAGAGACCAAGCAAATGTCTTCCCTCTCAGAACTCAAATGAATGCCTCATCTGGACTTGTTTCCTTTATTATCTTTAGCTCCGCAGTTCGTGGACAACCAGACCCCCTGGGCATAGGTTTGTGCCATTACACACCATGCTGGAGGGTGAACACTACATTGATTGGGAGAAAATAATTTCGTCTGGGTAAAACGAAAAGCTAGTGATTTTTGTTTGTTCTTTTCCTTTGTGGAAGGAAAAAGGAGTAGAGTATATGAAGAAAATTATTGAATCTCCATGTCCCAAAGTGAAACACTTACAATTTGCGGCTGCTTACAACCTTGGAAGAGCTTATTACGAAGGAAAAGGTGTTAAACGCTCAGAGGTAGAAGCCGAAAGGTAATCTTGCTGGAGAACAAGGCTCTATATTGATGGCATGCTGAACAGAAAACAATTTGCCTTTGCTTTTCCTTTCTAGACTGTGGCTTTTAGCTGCAGACAATGGAAATCCGAAAGCTAGTGTGAAGGCTCAAAGTATCCTAGGATTATATTACTCAACAAAGGAGCCAAAAGAGTTAGAAAAGGTAACATTTACTTTTTTTTGGGTTATTTTTCAATGTTACTTTTATTTGAAAGGGACATCATGGTTGGAAAGGTGAAGAGTCAGCAAAAAGTAGGAAGACCCTCAACTAGCGATGAATTGACATAGTGTTTGGAGCTACGGGCTCAAGTATGTCAGAGATGAGGATGGCATAGGGGAGGACATGGAAGGGTTCAGATCTGTTGTTCATAGCCATAGGTGGACTCAACTCGATGGCACCTAAAAACAATATATAATGCTATTGTTGTTGTGCACCTAAAAACAATATATAATGCTATTGTTGTTGTGCACCTAAAAACAATATATAATGCTATCGTTGTTGTTAAGTGCTGTCAAGTCACTTGCAACTCATAGCGACCCTCTATGTATGACAGCTCTGAGCCCTGCTCTATCCTGAGTCAACCTCATTGTGTCCAACACACCCAACCCCATTACCCGAGTCACTGAGTCAATCCGCCTCATCGAGGGTCTTCCCCTCCTGCGCTGTCCCTCCACCCTCCCAAGCATGACGTCCCTCTCCAAAGACCGGTCCCTCCTTGCAACACGTCCAAAGTGTAGCACACTGAGCTTCATGCTAGTGTTATTTATAGTGATTATATTTCTCTTTCTTCTTTGAAAGGAGGGTGGTAGGAATGCAATTTTTATTATCATTTACATTTTACAGTTCTGCCTTACAGAGACCCCATGTATTTCAAAGTAGACAACAGAGTATTTTTAGTGGCTAATATTTTTTTTTGCACCGAATATCAAATTGTTGTTGTTGTTATGTGCCGTCGAGTCGTTTGCGACTCATAGCGACCCTATGTACAACAGCCCTAAACTCTGCTCTATCCTGTGCCAATCTCATTGCCTCTGACACACCCATCCAGATTACCCGTCACTGAATCAATCCACCTTATAGAGGGTCTTCCCCTCCTGCGCTGTCCCTCCACTCTACCCAGCATGATGTCCCTCTCTAAAGACCTGTCTCTCCTTACAACATGTCCAAAGTATGTCAGGCGAAGCCCCAGAATCCTTGCCTCCAAGGAGCAGCCTGGTTTAACCCTCTCTAGGATGAATCTGTTTGTTTTCTTGGCAGTCCATGGTACATTCAATACTCTTCTCCAGCACCACAGCTCAAAGGCGTCAATTCTCCTTCTATCCTCCCTAATAGATTACCAAAAGAACAAATATGTCTTAGAGAGGGTGTAGCCATAGTGCTCTCTCTTTGGAGGCAAGGATGATGAGGCTTTGCCTTAGATATTCCTTGGAGAGGGACATGATACATGGAAGGAGGAAGGGCGGCAAAGAAGAGGACTAACATGGTGACTGCTGCAATTGGCTGTACTGTGTCAGGAAATGTCAAAATGACACAGGATAGGACAGGGTTCAGATATGTTGTTCACAGGGTCACTATGAGTCATACTCAACTCAGCAACACTTAACAATATTTTTTGAAGTAAATTGCTAAGCCTTTCTTCTTCTAGCAGATCTAAGCGGGCTCAAACCTCTGACCTTTGGGTTAGTAGGCAAGTGCTTTAATCATTTGTACCACCAGAAAGTCACAGCCTTTATATCATATAAATATTATTTGTTGATGACCCTCGAGTCAAGCATGAGTCATAGTGACCCTACGAACGAAACAAAAAATAGGGTTTCTGTGAGCATGTTATTTAGGAAGTGGATGCCACTCTTGCTTCCAAATAATATATATATTGTTTACACACACACACACACACACACACACACACACACACACACACACACACGTAGCAGGAGTGGCATCCACTTCCCAAACATGTCTCCAGAAACCCTATGAACTTTGCTAAATGTCTATAGTTGTATGGGGGGCTTCAGGCCTTTTGTTCATAGGATCACTATGAGTCATGCCAGACTCAAGGGCAAACAACAACAAATATAAAAATTATATATATATACACACACACACATATATATACACATATATACATACATACCTAAACACTATGCTTCTGGAAACTCTATAATAATAGTTATAGAAAGGCTTCAATCATGCTCCACTTGATGACAATCAATAACAACCACACACTCATAGATATATTATAGATATCAGTAATTGAACGTTTTCTAAGAAATCCTACATTATAGATATCAGTAATTGAACGTTTTCTAAGAAATCCTACAGAAGGATATGTTGCATTTATTCCTATTTGTAAGAGGAACTAACACAAACTAGGGAGAGGCACAGCAAAAACTGAGACTACCCTCAGGCAATTGTAGGTATTTTTGCATGACATTCATTGCATTCATTGTAGCTGAGTATTAAACAAACATACTTGATGCTACTACGCCTCCTTCAATCTTGACAGCTGCCTCTCCGAAACCCACGTGCAGCTCTCCTCTTCTGTGTATACAGGTTTGACTCAAAAGCAGGAAGTCAATGCATGAAAGGCTTGTGTGTTCCTATTGACTTCCTATTTTGCTTTCTTTGTCATTATTACTCTTTGAAAAATCTTGCAATGTGGACAGTGGGTGCTCTGTCAGGGACTCTGAGGTGAGGTCTGTGGAGGCTGATCTCACTTGCAGGTATGTGAATTTGGTGCCATCTTGAAATACATTTCAAAGGGGCTAGACCTACTTCCTTGAGAGGAAGACAAGTATTAACATGCAATTAAGAGAAACTTTTTCCTCCCAGCATGCTCTTACTTATAATTTCATTTTGTGAATAATGAACGAAATGATAAAATTGTGCTCTACCTTAGGCATTTTACTGGCATTCTGAAGCATGTGGCAATGGGAATCTGGAATCCCAATGTGCACTTGGTCTCATGTACTTTTATGGACACGGCATCCGCCAGAATACTGAAGCTGCCCTGCAGTGTTTACGGGAAGCAGCAGAACGGGGAAATGTCTATGCTCAAGGGAACCTCGTGGAGTACTACTATAAGATGAAATTCTTCACTAAGTGTGTCATGTTTTCTAAAAGGTAAATTGTTGTTGTTGTTAAGTGCCATTAAGTCTTAGACAACTCATAGCGACCCTATGAAGGAAAGACCTGTGCACTGTTCATAGAGTTTCGAGAGGCAAGCCATTCTGGAAGTGGATGCCACTCCTGCTTCCAAGCTTGTTTTAATCGGGGAGCTCCACCAAACACTGTCCACCATGGGTAAACATTATCACATTTGGCACATCAGTGTCACAGTGTTTAGCATCACAGCAACCATGAGTTACCTCTGTACAGCTATGCACAGACCAGTGCTATACCACCTAGAAGAATGTTTGACAAAAAAACAAACCAGGCTTGAGGGCCGCAGATTAAAATCACTCACCTAAAAAAAAAATAAATAAAATCACTCACCTTGGGTTAGGTAGCATCTCTTTCTGTCCACTAGGCCAACGTGGCTCGCTCTCTGTTGTCGTAGTTATTAAGTGCCCTTAAGTATCGTTAAGAACAGCTCCTGTAGATGACTTTCAAACTGGTTCTAGCGCCATACTGCCGACCAAAAAGGGGTTTTAAATAGGAAGCCTTAAATAGTGCCTCAACCCCTTAGTGAATCAACATTCCACCCTGTTGCTTGCCAATTCCAGCCAACAAGCTTCTGTAGAATCAGCTCCTATAGATGACTTTCAAACTGGTTAGCTAAGGATATTTCTATAACTCATTAGAGCTGTTCAACATAACTCTCTGTAATATCAGAATATGGCTAGTGAATGTGGAAATGAGCTTTTAAATTTTGAAGAGTAACATCATCTTATTATCGTCTTAGGTGGCACAATTCTATGCCATTAGAATCCAGGATCTCAATGCTTTAGCTGAATTTTCTTAACATTTTTGAGCGTCACATTTTTAAGGAAAACATATTTCTACTGCAGGGTTATAAGAAATATTTATAAAAGCCTAAACATAATTTGGCCCATCAAGTGTTCACTAGGTAGTTTTTAAATTTCTTTGGGCATCCTCCAATCATTGCAGCTGAATATAGCTTGATATTGAAATGTAAAATTAGAATGTTATGTGCCGTCGAGTCGCTTGCGACTCATAGCGACCCTATGTACAACAGCCCTAAACTCTGCTCTGTCCTGTGCCAATTGCACTGTCTCTGACACTCCCATCCCAATTACCCCAGTCACTGAGTCAATCCACCTCATAGAGGGCCTTCCCCTCCTGCGCTGTCCCTCCACCCTACCAAGCATGATGTCCCTCTTCAAGGACTGGTCCCTCCTTACAACAAGTCCAAAGTATGTCAGATGAAGCCTCAGAATCCTTGCCTCCAAGGAGCCATCCGGTTTAACCCTCTCTAGGATGAATCTGTTTGTTTTCTTGGCAGTCCATGGTACCCTCAACACTCTTCTCCAGCACCATAGCTGAAAGGCATCAATTCTCCTCCCTAGTCGTTGTCCAACTCTCAATGCATAAGAAATGATTGCAAAGACCATGACCTGTATCAGATGCACCTTAGTCTCCAGAGTGACACCTTTGCTCTTCAGTACTTTGGAGAATAACAGCAGACTTTCCCAGAATAGCTAAAAAAAAAAAACAACCCCAAAACAAAAACCCAACAAACCATGACATTACTATTATCTTAAAAGAATCTATGGACTTTTCTCTGGTCCTATAAGGCTTCGTATAGTTTCCTACTTTTATTTGTTATACACTTTCTGGCCACATAATTTTGCACAGAGGTCATCATAACTGATATCCTATGTCATTTCAATTTAACATCTCCAACAGGATTGCTGAATATGATGAGGTTCATGATATTCCCATGATAGCCGAGGTCACAGACTGTCTCCCAGAGTTCATCACCAGAGGTATTGCCATGGCGTCTTTCTACCATGCACGGTGTCTTCAGCTTGGCTTGGGTGTCACCAAGGATGAAGCAGCTGCCAGGCAATATTATTCTAAAGTAAGTTGTAGAAAACGAACTCAAATAGAACTTACTGGAGTTTTAGATGAGGTTTGGACATCTTTATGCATTCATGTTTTCTCCTACTTAAATTACTGCGCAGATAGCCTCTGTCCACAGAGAGGTTATCAGAATTGTAGACAATTTGCAGACAATTCTGTCCGATTCTTATAAGCATGATTAAGCTTAGATGGTGTATATGCTACTTTGATACAAATTATTCCTTTTCATCTTGGTACTATCTGTACAGACTTTAATGCCAAATGTCCTTCCGTGATTCACCGTGTGGAAGTGGGGACCTCTATCTCTATTCTAGCACCTTCACAGTTTTTTTGTGTACGGCATCATCCACACTTTAGGTTGGTAGTTTGAGATAATTAGTTAAAATAAGTTTTTCACATTTTAATTCATAAGATTAATTTCTTTAGATCCCAAATGGATTTTACTTCTGAAATAAGGCAACTGTTTGGAAAAGAAAGGGTTGCAAGTCATTATGAATAGTAAATACAAGTAAATGAGAAGGGAAAAATCCCAACAGTGTAAAAAACTTTATCAATTAGGTCCATGTTATCGATAAAGCACAAATTATAATTACACCCTAATAAAACTGTTGATAAAAATTGTGAAATACAAATTGTTCAGCTTGAACAGAGCAACAATTTGCAAATCTTTTCCCCAAATCTGTTTATGACAATGGTCCCCAAATCTGTCAACATACTAAAATCACCAGGGGCTACAGTTAGGTGCCATCAAGTTGACTACGTCTCATAGCAATCTTGTGAACAACAGCTCTAAACCTGGCCCCATCCTGCTCCATCCTCTTGATCTCCTTGATATTCAAGCCATTGTCAGTCACTGTGTCGATCCACCTTGTTGGATTTCGCTGACCCTCCACGTTTCCTTTCCCAGCACGATGCCTTTATTCAAGGACTGGCAACATGCCCAAGGTATGGGAGATGAAGTTTCACCATCCTTCCTCAAAGGATTACCCTGGTTGCACAACTTCCAAGTCAGAGTTATTTGTTCTTTCGCATTCCACCCTCATTAGCCCAATTCAGAGGCATCGATTCTTTTTATGTCCTCCGTACTCAACTGTCCAACTTTCAGATGCATATAAAGCAAGGGAAAATATTTCTGGCTTCCTGATTGCTGGTGCCAACAGTGTTGTCTGTGGATCCACACAAGATGAACTTCTTAACAACTCTGATCTTTTCTCCAACTATCACGATGCTGCTAATTAAGAATCTTTGCTTTCTTGATGTTGACATGCCATCTTTATTGAAGACTGCAGCCCTTGACCTCTGAAAGCAAAAACTTCAAATCTTCCTCAGTTTCGGCAAGCAAGGTTGTGTCATTTGCAAGGAAGACTGGTGAGTCTTCCTCCAATTCTGATGCCATTCTTCTTCATAAAGTCCAGCCTTCTGGATGACCTGTTCTGTATTGTAGATTGAAAGGGTGTGGAGAAAGGATACATCCCTGACACACTCCTTTCTTAATATTGAACCATGTAGTGTTCCCTTGCTCTGTTCATATGATAGCTTCCTGGTCTAGTTGTAGGTTTTGCATGAGCGCAAGGAAGAGTTCTCGAATTCCTGTTCTTCTAAAGGTTAGCCACAATTTGTTGTGATCTACACAAATACCTTTGCATAGTCAATGAAGCACAGATAGACATCCTTCTGAGACTCTCTGCTTTCAGCCAATATCCATCTGACTTTGGCTTTAATGTCTCTAATGCCATGGACTATTGTAAACCCAGCTTGTATTTCTGGAATTTCTCTGTCAATGTACTGTATTAGTAATTTTTGGATAATCTTCAGCAAGGTGTTGCTTGTGTGTGATATTACTAGTATTGTTTGATTTCCACCTTGTTTGGATCACCTTTTTTTGAGAATGGGAATAAATATGGATGTCTTCCAGTCAGCTGGCCAGCTAGTTGTCCTCCAGATTTCTTGGCACAACCTGGTGAGCACATCAAGGGCTGCATCTCTTTGTTGAAATATGCCAGTTGGTAAAATAAGATTATTATGGATTGTGATATTCAAAGAATGAAGAAAAAACATTTGAAACCAAATGTTAATGCTTTCAATTTTAATAATTTGTAACACAGGATGCCATGCAGAGTTTCTTTATTCAAGACACTGTTAAATATTTTCTCCTTCCAATGGTAACATGGCTATTTTGCACATGACTTACTTTGTGCATAAATTTAGGGAGCTCTGATGGCATTATTTAGAGAGAGTTGTGCTGTTAACCCCAAGTGCCCACCTCTCTAATGGTTCGAATCCATCAGCAGCAAGTCAGGAGAAGGATGGGCAGTCTCCTTCCATTTGAATTATAGCCTAGGAAATCTACTCTAAGGTCAGCTACGAGTCAGTTCTGGGTCAACAACAGCAGTGACAGCAGGTGAGTGAAACTGAAATTGACCTTCTTCTGTCCTAGGGAATCAGAAATTTATCCTAAGACATTTCCATGGAATTATTTATACTTTACTATTCGTAACAAATAAAGATACAAATTTTAAAATTAACCATTTAGAATGTACCCGAATAATTGAATCTTTCCTTTTTGACTTTAAGGCTTGTCGGCTGAATCCTGAACTGGCAGATGAACTTCACTGTTTACTTATTCGTCAGAGAATTTAAACCATAATATGTTTCAAAAGCAATCATCAGTCCTGACAATATACAACATGTGTATTTTTATAGTAGCTAAGTTTGGTTATTTTCACATCTGGAGTTAAATTATCCTATGTATTCTACTGATGACATGTTACTATTTACTTTGAATCTGCACATAGTTTTTACAACTTGAAACCTAGCCATAGTGCCAACTGCTGAAGGAATCCTTAGAGCTCATCCACTTAGCCAAAAGAATAGTGTAGATCACATCAAAGGTTCAAAATCATTTCATAGAGCAAATATTTTTCTTTTAAATACAAAATACCCCCCAAATTAATGTAGTTTTAGCTCTAGTAAGTTCAGAAGAGTAATTTTTACAGAATTATAAAAGAAATAATTTAAATATTTAATGCTTTCTAATTTCTTGGATTCCTAGTTTTGTGAATTTTAAATTAAAATTTTTTAAATGCCTGAAACAAAAATTGAAAGTAAAAATTTAATATTCAAATATTTAGATGTCCCTTCATCCATACCTCCCCTTCAACAATCTTAAATGAGTAAAGTAACTGTATTTCTGGTGAATATTTCAACCTATTTCTACATTCCTAAAACTTTAAATGTTATTTCAAGATAAAATAAATGTGAAAAACCTCAATGAAATAATCTAGCAATAATCACTATAATTACTATGATCAAGAAATTAAATTAGTGAGAAAATTCCTCCTTTTATTAGTGATATGTAGTACCAAGAGGAGGGAGTTCTGGTGGCCTAGTGGCAAAAAGCTGAGCTGCAATCCCGAAGGCACATGGTTCGAGGCCACCTGCCACTCCATGGGAGAAGGATGGGTAAACTCCTCCTGTGCAATTAACTGCTTCTGAAAACCCACCAGAGGGTCAGCTATGGGTCAGTTCGGGCTTTACGGTATATTAACAACAATAACAGCAACAGTACCAGGAAGGTCTATGTGCAGAAGATTCTGCGGTGATATTTATCTGTGATGCAAACAAACTGAAAATGATGTCTTAATGTTGCCTTCACAATACCTTAGCTTTATTTTCTCAGCAAACAGACTGATATGGCTTTATTTTCGAAAATACAACTATCCCTTCTTAAAGGAAACTGAAACAAGATCTATTTTTATCTTCCCATTGCCTGGGAGCACCGGTGGCCTAGTGATCAGGGGCTGTGCTGCAATCCCGAAAGCACACGGTTAGAATCCACCAGCTGCTCTGCAGGAGAAAGAGGAGCAACTCCCAGGCAATTTTCTGCTTCTGAAAACCTGCTGGAGGGTCAGCTATGGGTTGGATCTGACTCAACAGTACTCAATAATGAAACAACAGCATTGCCACTGGGAATCCTGGGGGCCTATTGGTAAGGAGCTGCACTAACTGAAAGGTATGCAGTTCAAATCCACCAGCTGCTCCGCAGGAAAACAGTGGGCAAATTCCTCCCATGCAACTCACTGTCTCTGAAAACCCACTGGAAAGTCAGTTATGAGTTGGTTCTGACTCACAGGCACATAACAAAAACAATGCCACTGAGTGTGAACTAACCCAAAGCTGAGGCTCCATCAGGTATCTGAGGCTATAAATTTCCGAGCACAGGAGGAGATGGTCCATTCTTCTTCTAAGGAGCCACTGGTGAATTAGAATTGCCATACAGGTGTAGCCTTTGGAGTAGGTCAACTCCCTACAAAATAGGCCATGACAGTCTCCATTTTTATCTCAGTGTGGGAAATTACAAATACTATGCAGGTGCTTCTCACTAAAGAACTGCTGGATTGTAGAAAATTAACACTTTGTCCCTATTTCCTGTTTGTCTAAATTATCTGAACTTCATTTAATATACAGGAAAGAACTATTAATAGGTCTGTAGGGTCTTCAAATGTACTTCTCTTAAAAGTATCAACTTAAAACTATCCTTGAAAACTACTGAGGCATCCTAAACACAGGACTGTGCATATCTGGTAAAATGCTACACCTAAGTATTATCACCAAAAGGAACTCTGGTGGCCTAGTGGCAAGAAGCTGTATTACAATCCTAAAGACATGCGGTTCAAGGCCATTGGCTGCTCCACAGGAGAAGGATGGGCAATTTCCTCTCATGTTATTAAAGGCCTTTGAAAACCCACTGGAGGGTCAGCTATGGGTCTGTCTGACTCAACAACAAGCATCATCAAAGTAGACTTGGTGTGTCCTTGCAGGTTAACTGTTGGGATATAACTAAAAAGTAAGCAGTTCAAACCCACCAGTCATTCCAGAGTTCCTTTTCCAAAAGGTTCGAATCTACTCCCATTAAGACTGACAGCCTCAGAAACCCAATGGAGGATTATTATAAATTGGAAAATAGGTAACTTCAAAGAGTCCGTGGATGGTGCCAATCTGTAAGTGCTTGGTTACTAATAAAAATGATGGTGGGTCAAATCCGGCCAGAGGCATTGGAGAGAAAAGGCCTGGCAGTCCATCTACAAAAGAGTACACACAAACATGGACAAGCTTAAGGAGCAGACACAGCACGAATCAGAATCAACCCCATGGCAACTGCTGTGTTTTTGGTGAGATTTTGTTTGTTAAAAAATATTCAGTAAAACCAATATTGAATGATAAAAGTCAGTTCATTGTAGTTATCTTAAAGCAGGAGCTTCAGGCACTGTTGAATCCCAGGAGATTCCCAGGGCTGCAGATGGTGGGATGCACCTTGACCTTCTGAGAGTAGCCAGGCAGTCTTTCAAACCAATGGAAATGAAGCTTCCAGATATGGTACAGATTATTCTCAAGCCAAACTGTGTTACAATTTCTTTTAGCTGTTATATCATGAAAAATTGAGAACTGAAAATACTTCTTTATAATAATAAAGACATACTGAAGAAAGAAAAAAAAACCCTAGTTATTTGTCTTATTCATAGTATAAAGTTAACAGGTACAGTTTACAAAATTGTTATTATGTGCTACTACTGCGTTGACTAAGGCTTACAGTGACCATGTGAACAATGGCTCGGAACACTGCTCTATCATGAGCTAACCTCACCGTCTCTGACACACCTTACCCATCGCAATAGTCACATCCATCTTATCTGGGGTCTTCCTCTCCTGCGCTGTTCCTCTACCCTTCCAAGCATGATGTTCCTCTCCAAGGACTGGTCCCTCCTGGCCATGTGCCCAAACTATGTGAGACAGAGTTTGAAAATCCTTGCCTCCCAGGAGCAACCTGGTTTCACCCTCTCCAAGACAGATCTGTTTGTTCTCTTTGCAGTTCCTAATATGTTCAATATTCTTCTCCCAGCACCACAGCTCAAAGACATGGCTGATTTTTCTGTCATCCTTAATCAATGTCCATACAGATATGGACATTTCAGGTAACTGTGTTATGACGAGTTCATTTGGTTTGGCTACTTTAATAGCTTCTCATCTCAGAAGTTGTTAACATCATCCTTTCTACATTCTTATGAATTCCTACCTATATAAATAACCATATTAAGTATGCCAAATATCCTGGTTTTAAAAAAAGGATTAAGAATTGTAACAAGAAAAACCTCAGAGATAAAATTTTGTTTACCAATATTTTATCATTCATAACTTTTGTATTACATCTTAAATTATGGTGCATGTATAACCTAAGAACTTGGTAAGCTTGATCTGTCAATACAGAAACAGTATCACTTTTAATGAATACGTCTTTTTCCTTCAGAGATTCCAAATTGACTTTCTGCCAACTAAGTCTTTTCAATATTCCTAAGGATTAGATGAAAGCAACAACAACAACACAACAAAACCACAGCCAGCTCCCAGCACACTGCTTCTGACTCAGGCCAACCTCAGCTGTTCAGCGTATCACCTAAACCATGTACACCACCAAGTCCTCCTAGAGGTAGCCCAGGGACAGGGATTTTGTTATCTCATAAAGATGGAAAAACCCAAGGAAACAGATTAGACTTGTTCTTGGCTCCACCACTAATAACAAAACAAAATCTGTACCTTGGATCTCATCTAGTACTCTCTCATGTCCACAGACCTGATGATACAGTGAAGTCCCCACAGTCCTCAGGGTAATTTTCTCTGTTTCCCTGTCTTCTTCCTACCCATCCTTCTGAGTACTGCTCATGTTCAAGTATTAATTGGATTTTTCTCATACACTACAAATCTTTTTTTTTTGGTAGGCTACCTACTCATCATGGACAAATTTTAGAGGAACTTCCAGACAACAAAAAAACTAGAAAGAAAAGCCTGGTAATATACATTTAAAAAAAAAAAAGGAAAGAAAAATTAACCAATGAAAACTCTATGTACAATAACAGAATAATACGTGATAAATACTGGAAAGGGAGCTCCACAAGTTGGCACAATGTAATAACCCCAAGGAAGGACTCCAATGTACCAAGCATCACAGAGAAGGCGTAGGACTGGGCTGTGCTGTGTTAGACATAAGGCTGCCATCAGTCAGGGCAGCCTGCCACTAAAAACAATTACCACAGAGCTCCCAGATTCATTTTTTATATTTTATTGCTTCAAATGCTTCAAACTATGGGAAATCTTTGGTAAAAATAAAGACAAAATTTTTTCACAATTACTTTACACAAAGCATTGCACAACAGTGTTCAGTACACATGAAAGAATATAGGAATGTTCCAAATCCTCAGTGAGGAAATTAACTGTACAGTATTCATAGTTCATTTTAAACAAAAGTGCTTTCATAAATATTTAAAATATTTCCTAGGTTCTTATCACATATTAACATTGGTATTTCAATCAGTATGTTCAACTTCATTTATATTACTATTTAAATAAAAACTAATAATTAACAAAATGGGTTGGGTTTTTTTTCCTGTTGCCCACAACAGCATTAAGTGCCGCTCCTCAAGTTCTGTCTACTTCACATAAAACGAGAGGGAGGTAACTAAAATAAAAAGCAGTCTGGTTCTGTCAGGCCCTCTGTGGAAAAGAGGAAAATGCTTCATGTCTATTATTACACAGACATTTCTTGGTGGCTGTATTTGTGCAGTCTCAAACTTGACCAGTTTTCAGTTGCTCTAAATGAGTTCTCAACTCAGGACACAGTTCAATTAGCAGCAGTTCCATCAGCACCTGAAGCAATAAAGGGGGAAAAAATGTTTTCTCCAGCTACTCAAACATCCACATAAAAAAAATCTTGAGATTATGCTCTGTGAATGAGTGGCACTCATATATTTCTAACATTCAACAAACTCCCACTTAACACCTGATTGATTTTTATGGTCTGCTAACCATTATCAAACCATCAACAGTATTTGCTACTGCCAACTATAATCCTAGATAACTGAGATATCTGTCTCATTGAAATAAAACCACACAGTCATGCAGAAATGTGGTAACTAAACCAAGAGAGATGATGAGTACAGATGATGAATGAGAATGCTGTATCCACTGACGTTCCTCCACCCACAAAGAACCAAACAAAAATACAGAGAAAACAGGTGTGCGGTTATAAGTATTAAAAAGGACTGACAAGATAAAGGACTAAATCTACCCCAAAATGTGAAGAGAAATAGAAAATCTGAGCGATAATGAATCCTCTGGTAGGCATTAGTTTACTTACATATAAAAGATGTTTATTGGCTCTTGTTTCTTGCAGTGCATTGAATATTTTTATTATACCATGACGGGCATTTTGCTGTCCAACAAGGCTCTGGAGCATATCTGAATTTTAAAATTTCATAAGATTAATTAAATTTTATTTCCTGCTGCAATGTAAATAATGCAGACATGATACATGTGCAATAAACATGAGACGCTTAGCCACGAGGGACATGAATGGCCGGTTCTTTCAAATGCTGAAAATGTGTTTCATTTTGAACATGAAAACATTAACATGAATTACAATTTTAATATACTGCTACACAATTAAAGATTAGGGAGCACTGATGGCCTAGTGGTAAGAAGTTTCACTATAATCTCAAAGGAACACAGTGTGAATTCACCATCTGCTCCGCAAGAGAAAGATGGGCAATCTTCTCCAGTATGAATAAAAGGCTTCTGAGAACCTGCTGGAGGGTCAACTATGGGTTGGTTCTGACTCTATGGTACACAACAACAATTAAAGATTAGGAGCCCTGGTGCTAAGCTGGTAATGAAGAGACTGAAAGTTTCAATGCATTAGCCACTCCGCGGGAGAATTTCTAGCCTTGGAAATCTGACAGAGTGCTGCCATGAGTTAGAATCAACAACAGTGGTTTTGTTTGTATGAGTTTTACACTCCCCCCGCCCCACACACCCATAACTGGCTTAAAAATCCCTTTTCATCTCCATCGTTTTGGGGATCCTAACCCAGACTCACCTGGGATGTTTTCGAGCAGCTTTTGCTGTGCTCGCTGCTTTGTTTCCTGTCTCTGTGCTTCACTTCTGGTTGTAGTCAGAGATGCCAATTTCCCGTTTGGCCACAAAGCATCCCGGAACACAGTGATGTAGTAAACTAACATTTGTTCACTGAAAATCCAGTTCACTGTGTCCCGGATTTGTCTTTCAAAAGGGAAAAAAGAATATTTTTAAGGATTATGTACTCTATTTTCAAAATGCGTTTCTTTATCAATGTGGGTAGGTTAAGAAAAACCTTGATCTAAATGTGTGATGAATACACTAGGAACTGAATTTTTTTAAACTGACAGTTAAGGTTATTTTTTAATAGCATTACGAAATGGCTAATCATTCCTTCGGTTCACTTTTTCATCTGCAATGACATCTCTAAATGGGTGTCATTAATTTCAGTCTGTAAATATAAGAGCTGAGAGGAGAATGATGGATTTGAAGCTTGCCACTACCTTAACTGTACACAGCACTCAGTATTTTCTCCAAGGAACGGCACAAAAAGAAAAGAGAACCCTATTTAGAGATTATTAAGAGTAGTCTGGAGAAAGCTTCCCTGAGCTCCTCATATCCTGGAGGAGAAAAAGCTTTTTACTAGTTATCTTGAGTGTTGCTATGGCAGTTAAGACTGGGCAGAATAGTCTGACCAAGGGGAACATCTCATATGCTCAAGAGGCAAGAAAAACCAAGAAACTCCCTTTCACCACAAAGTAAAAAACTCTGAAAAAAAGCACTGCTAATCTAATGCATTTCAAATTTCCATGGGAACGAAAAACTGAGTAGATATTTGACTTTCAAAGTTATATATAAGTGAGCTCTTATCTGGCTACCCACGTTTTCCACACTGAGTATTTCATTACTCATTCGTCAAATTATAACCAATCACAGGGCTTGTGCTGTCAAGTGGTGGTGGGATGGGTGTTAAGTAAAATACATTTCAAAGAGCCCAAATGTAACAGTGTGCCTTGGAGGAGGAACTTATGTGGGGAAAAGCAGGAAAAAATCAACTTACCATAAAAGTAAAAAATCAAGACTACCATAAAAGACAGGCCTGAAATGTCTATCAATACAGACATTTGATGTCTATCTTGAAATGTCTATCCTGACACATTGTTGTTTGACACATTACTATCACGAATAGTAACAAAATAAAACGCCCCTTAAGAATCTGATTTCCCAGATTTTTAGAGATGATACAAGATTTTAAGAAACAGTATCTGAAAAAAAAGCAGTATCTGAAAGAGACGTTTAAAGAGTAACATATCGCACATAATAATTAGCTACTATTGAATAAAAGAACTCTACTGAGTTATAGCTATAATGTTAATTCTGTTATTATCTACCTGTTCTCCAAGATATTTTTCTATATGGTTTTGAACTGTGTAGTTTAAAAATAGACAAAATAAAATATCAGTAATTTCTGCTTTGAGGGACTTGGCATTGTTCTCAAGTCTTACATTGGATTAATCATTAGTATTACATGAAGACATAAAAAAATGCAATTCACAATGTAAAATCTGTTAAGTGACTCTAATCAAAAGCTACTACCTATGCATAGTCTACCAATCTCCATCTGGTCTTCTATTACCCCAAAATTTTAGCTGGTACAGGAAGAGAAACACAGATGTACTGTTGCTTAATTTTATGATGTGTCAGCTGCTGAAGACAAAAATAGCAGAAAGCTAGGTGCTCCATAAGTCTTCACCTGATTTTTAAAAAGGCTTTGGAAATGAACAGTCTGAAAATTTTCTACATTGAAGTCTCACTTCTAGCCACATGAAAACAATTGCCAAATATACCCATCACTCATTACAACCACAGTTGCTCATTTCATAATTAAGAATCAAAATTATAACTACAAGCAGGAAAAATCCACATGACTTGCTAAAAATTAAAGGGAAAAATAAATGTGCAAGTCAAGTCATTCTGGAAATATCTTTACCCAAAGTCTGTCATAACTAAGGGGGGAGGGGAGAAAGGGAGGGAGAGGGGGAGGGGGAGGGGAGAGAAACAGAAAGAGACAGAGAGAAAGAAAGAGACAGGCACAGAGAGACAGAGAGAAACACAAAGATAGACAGACAGACAGACAGACAGACAGAACGAGAAAGCACATGAGAGAGAGCATGCAGTTGACCTAGCGGACAGAAAGCCATGCTCCCAAGCCAAAGGTGGGTGACTCTACTCCACGGCTCGCAGGCCTGCCTTTAATTGTTTTCGGTGAAACCTTCTAGGTCATGTAACCCTGGTATGTCCACTTGTTGTGCAGAGGAAACTTGTGGTCGCTGTGAAGATGAACACTGTGATACTGATGTGTCAAATGCGAAAATGGTTACCCACGGTGGACAGTGTTTGGTGGAGCTCCCCGATTAAAACAAGCTTGGAAGCAGGAATGGCATCATCCACTTCCACAATAGCTTGCCTCTGGAAACCTATGAACCTGGAGAAAGGACGAATGTTACACAGGAGGTCTCTAGGACTTTGGTTCACAGGGTCGCTATGAGTTGCCTGCGACTCGACAGCACTTAACAACAACAACAAACTCTTATTTAGGACTACAAAGAAAATCTATTTCATCTGTAAATTTATTTAAAAAACCAAGTGTTCTTCACTATGTTTTCTGTAAAAATTTATAGGATCTATATGTCAGAACTCGACTACACATCTGTCAGTTTGTCATACACTGGTAACTAGCTTTTGTGATGCTAGGATTGGTGGTAGGGATTATGCACCGGAATTTTAAATATCAGCAGGTTCAACCGTGGTGGACAGGTTGCAGTAGAGCTTTCCCGATTAAGACAGATTATGAAGACATGAAGAATAAGTAGTTGTAAAACATGGCCTCGTGATAACACCACGAAGAAAACAATAAAATTATGTACAGTCAATGACTTATACGTTGTAAATGTATTTTTTTAAAAAAAGCCAAAACCAAACAAACTAAAATAGTTGCTGTGCATGTGAACTCTGCCAGATGCAGTATGTTGCTGTGGTTAACTGCTGTCAAGTCCAGTGCAACTCAGCAATCCTATGAAAAACAGATTTGAACTCTCTCCTATCCTGCACCATTCTTACCACTCTGGACATATCTGAGTTCACTACCACAGACACTGTAAGGGTTTTCCTCTTCTTCACTGTTCCTTCATCATTCTAAGCAGGATGATCCTCTCCAAGGAAAAGCCTCTAAGAACATGTCCAAAATATGTGAGATGAAGCTTCACCATCTTTATTTCCAAAGAATATTCTGGTTGCACTTTCTCCAAGACACATCTGTTTGTCCTTTTGGTAGTCCATAGAGTAGTCAGCACTCTTCTCTAACACCACAACTCACTCAAATGCATCGATTCTTCTGTTATCCTTATTCATTGTCCAGCTCTCAGATACATAGCAGATGATTGGAAAGACTGTGGCATGAATCAGGTGCGCTTTTGTCTTTTAAATGACATCACTGCTCTACAGGACTTTGGAGAGATTTCTGACAAAAGATTTTCCCAATGCTATACAGCTCTTGATCTCCTGGCTGCTGGTCCAAAAGGTGTTGATTGTGGACCCAGGAAAGATAAAACTGTTGACAATTTCAGTCTTTTCTATATGTATCATGATGTTGCCTATTGGTTCAGTGGTAAGGATCTTTGTTTTCTTGATGCTGAGATGTAATCTTTATCAGAAGCTGCAGTACTTGATTCTCTGCAGCAAGCACGTTTCGTCCTCCTGTTCAGCACATAAGGTTATGTCATCTGCGTAATGCGGGTTGTTGATGAGTCTTCCTCCTATCCTGATGCCACACTCTTCTTCATGTAGTCCATCTAAATTATTTGCTTAGCATACAGATTGAATAGGTATGAAGAAACCGATTTTAAACCGTGCAGTGTTCCCTTGCTCTGTTTATACCTTGGGTCTAGGTACAGATTTTGTGTAAGCATAATTAAGTGTTCTCTAATTCCTATTCTTCTCAAGGTTAATCATAATTTGTTATGATTCACACAGTCAAATGTCTTTGCATAGTCAATAAAACACAAAAAGACATTATTCTGATATTCTTGCTTTCATTCAAGATTCACCTGCCATCAGCAACAATGTATCTGGTGCCATGGCCTCTTCTAAACCTAGCTTGAACTTCTGGCAGTTATCTGTCAATGTACTACTCTAGCCTGTTTTAGATGATCTTCAGCAGTATTTAGCTTGTTGTTGTTGTTGTTAGGTGCCATCGGGTCAAGTATGACCCACAGTGACCCTAAGAACAACAGATCTGAACCCTGTCCTATCCTGTGCTATTCTCACACTCCCTGACACTTTAGAGCCCATTGCGGCAGTTAATGTGTCAGTCCATCTGGTCGAGAGTCTTCCTCTCCTTCACCAATGCTCCAGCTCTCTGAGCATTATGTCCCTCTCCAAGGAATAGCCCATTCTAGCCACATGCTCGAAGTAAGTGAGGCAAAACCTCATTATCTTTGCCTCTAAAGAGCACTCCAGCTTCACCCTCTTCAAGACATATATGTATAAATAAAAATAGTATATATAAACATATAGATAGATAGATATCTATAGACAGATATTTCCCTTTTGGCAGTCCTGTTCAACCCTCTTCTCTAACACCACAGCGCAAAGATATCCATTCTTCTTCTGTCATCCTTATCTATTGTCCAGCTCTCAGATGCATAGTAAGTTATCAGAAATGACCATGGCTTGATCAGACAAACCGTAGTCCTTGAACCGACATTATTTCTCCTCAATAATTTGGGAAGGTGTCTAGCAGCAGACTTTCCCAGTGCAATACGCCTCCTGACTTCCTGACTGCTGGTACCAAGGGTGTTGATTTTGGATCCAAGTAAGATGGATTTGTTGACAGTTTCAATCTTTTCTCAAACTGTGTTATGCAGATGACACAACCCTGCTTGCTGAAACTGAGGAGGACCTGAAGCGCTTGCTACTGAGGGTCAGGGACTGCAGCCTTCAATATGGATTGAGGCTCAATATCAAGAAAACAAAGATTCTCACCACTGGGCCAACTGGCAGCACCATGATGGATGGTGAAGAGCCTGAGACTGTTCACAGTTTTAGTTTGCTTGGCTCCACAATCAACACTCTTGGCACCAGCAGCTGGGAAATTAAAAGATGTATTGCGGTAGGAAATTCTGTGGTTAGAGACCTCTCTAAAG